CATTCGTAACACACGACGCAGAAAGATTACAGAAACTACCAGAATCCGTCAAGTAAGACCAATAATCCTTGTTTATGAATATTCAAAAGTACAAACAAGTACAAATTACATTCCACAAGAAGTCACGAAGCACTGCTGCATGAGTAATTGTCTCAGGTGCTACCAGCGCTATCCTACCCCCTGTCGACCACAGGTTCAGGAACGGCCCCCCACCCGAACAAAACAGTCAAAAACAAGAGCGCTAACGAACCACAAGGAACACACAGGCCTTTCAAACTAAAACACCATGGAGGAGGTGTGTGCGTCTTTACACCCCCAAGAAAGGCTCACATATTTATATGGGAGAGAGAACAAACACAAGGACCTGTCGCATCGAAACAACCTCGAACACCAATCAGTGTGACACAGCAGAAAGAAACACCGGAAACAAAACAAGTCTCTTTCATTTGAACAAAACCAGACATATACCACCTTCCTGACGTGCTCTGGTAAGGCACAAATCCCCATCTAAACACCACAGTTTTCTTATCCTTATTCCACATCTTTGCAGCCAGCACGCCAGCTTCCCCTTCTAGCCCACCATCACTCCCCCCCTTCTTATTGAGCTCTTGTCCCTGTGTCCTCATTCTTCCGCCCCCTCCAAGGTGACCACACACAAGACTAAAGAGTTGTTTTAAGCGATATAGTTGTTTATAGTTGCCTTTTTTTTTTTTAAAAAAATAGTACGTAAGACTATGTAAATAACTTTCATTATCTCAACAGGCCAGAGAACACCAATTACCCTCTATCATCCCGCTCTTAAGTAGTATTAGAGATGCTTTTTCAAATAGTAAACTCTCACACAGGCCCAATATAGAGATACACACGCATTTGTCCTACAGCCTCCGCCATTTGGCTATGTTCACATCCTTTCACTTATATTATCCAGCTCCTTACACATACTGTTACTATTAAAATAACAAGAATAACCACACCACCATCTATTGAAAACAAGTAGAATTTCCACTGATAAATTGAATGCTGAAAAGCTTAAGAAGAATGTGCCACCTTCCCCCAGCTCTCTCTGTCCCTGTCATTAAAAGGCTGCTTCCCATTTTCTTTTATGAGTAACTAAAAATGTTTAGCCTAACTTTTCCTGTTTGTCGCCCTTTAGACCCGCACATGAAAGAAATAGCGAAAACAGAGGTATATAAGTAACAAGTAAATCATAGCAGCACTCATATTTACTAGCAATGAAAACACACATATTGCCCCAAGCAATGTGTAAACGCACCATCTATCTTTTAATAGGGGATACATAGTCTCAGAGTCCTTGGAGGCTATCCCCAAATTAGGATGCTTCCCCATGCTCACATCCCTCTCTAAACCAAACGACTCTCCCTCAATTATTGGGGAGGGAAATATACACATGTCCCTGTCAATTTAACACACATGATACCTATTATAAGTGACAGTTAAAAAAATACCACAGATTTAACTTTCCTAGACATACCGTTACTTTATAAACTTCAAATAAATCAAACATAATAACACCAGTAAGCAAAAGACGATAGAAAAATACCAGAGGAAACACATAAATAATAAACAGAACACACAACATGGCATTTACTGTGTATAGTCACAAAAACTATCGAACTCAATAACAAATCACCAACATGATTATTCCCCTGTTTTTTCGTGTCACACAGAAACATTAAAACAATGTATTTCTATGGAGCATCCGTTTCCGTGCTCGCAGCACGTCTTTGTCGGTTCGGTCTTGGAAGCGGAAGACGTAGGGTTCATCAAAAACTTTTTTACGCAATATCAAGCCCCTTAACTTCCGTTTTTATTTTTAAAAATCCGTACTAGTGTCTGACATTTTTTTTGATCCGTCTGATGGAGGAAAAAATGCGGATCAGGCCTCAGGAACTGAAATTGTATTTTTAAATCATTTTTTCCTCCTAATCTTGTTATTCTTTTCTAATACACACACCTGTTCACTCTGTGCTCACCAATCCACCACCATCCCTTGTTTTAATTTATTTGATGTTAATTCCATTACATCTCGGGCATTTTTGGCGTCGTCCAGCACTGAATTATCAAAAATAAAAATAACCGGAACAAGACGTAGCCTATAAGCCAGAAACATTATCGACGCATACAATTCGCGATTGTCAACATATTGAGTTTAGGATCGCCGCCGAAAGACACTACACCGACCATAAAGCCAAGCGTACTCGTCTTAGCGACTAAGTGCTCACCCCGCTGATTAATCCTTCAAACTCGGATGGATGTCTGCGCAATCCGGTTAACGCGGCGTCAAACAGCAGTAAATGTTCTCGTGCTGCGCGGCACGAACATACAACCATAGAAATACATATGCTTTTAAATGTCTTCTGTGTGACCACGAAAAAAAGGGAAAATCGGGCTGTTGGTCAACACGAATAAATGGATTAAATTTCGGAACCTATAAAACACGGAACATGACCGGTGCCGAGCTCGGGATGTGATATATAAATACATATACATAACAGAACATCCGCATATAAACGCCTGCTGAACGTTAATCCATGGTCTGCTCCTCAGCTTTGAATGATTACTGATAATCCATCATAACATTTCATATCAATAAGAGTAAAGTTTTCATATATAAGCTGCTATGAGAGCTACGCAAGAGTGTATAAGCGGGTTTCTCATACATCAATTTCCCTCCCCGACTCCTCGACTCCTCGTTCTCCGGTAGTGACACGGCGCGTGCCGGATGAATTTTCAGCGCCCAATGTTGAAGGACATCCTAACTTTCCTCTAATGGCACAATCGAGGACCGACGGATCGAGCGTCGTAGGAGGCTCTCTTGGAGGATGCCTATAACCTGAGGATACACTCGATGGTTCCTCCACGTGCTCCTCCGCGGATGATTTCCAGGGAACGTGGAGGGGATCGCACAAGGCCGACCTTATCTCAGCAATGAACAGCTCATGCGTGCATCCCCTGATATTAGTTAGAAACTGCTTCATCGCGCTCACGATGTTTCCTGAGAGAACAGCTGTGAGGTCCGCTGCAGAAGCAGAGCAGTGTGTATAATATATATTCTAACTCAGTATACAGGCCTACTCTCTTATTTGCTTTAGTTAGTAGATACTGGTACTACAAACAAAGAGTGATATTTTTCTAAGACCATTTAGCTGCTTCACATGATAAAATAACAACCGGCTGTACCGTGATTAATGCCTTTAGGAGCTGCAGTGTGTGTGTGGTACAGTGGTAGCGTGTCGCTGTGGTACAGTGTGGCAGGTGCGTGTTGTACAGTGGCATAGAATAGAATGTCCCTTTCAGCGACAGAGAGAGGGGGGGGATCATATCGCAGTCCTCGTGATTGGTTACCGTCTCTATGGAGAGTGCTCTCATCTTGTTTGATTCTGAAATTGAATGTGAAATTATAGAATATAGGGGGCGGGCAAGCTCGAGGATAGGAGTCGAGGGAGGGGAGTCGGATGCGGACCGGGGAATTAGAGTATGAGAAACCTAATGAAGCTTCCGGTTTGGGCATGCGGCTGCGCATGCTCACTGCTCATTAACCATGGGTAAATGTTTAGATGGAGTTAGGAACTCCTTTCTCTCGATTCGATTGGCTCTAACGATTCAAAAGAGGTCCATCATTCCATCAAATCGGACCGATGGGTTCCAGAGATATGGCAATAACCCAAATACCCTCAGAGGTGGGTTTTCTTTTCTAAATCTCTCTAAAATAACTTCAGCATTGTCACCTTGTTTTGCATCAATCTTGATTACAGGGTACTTATTATTAATGCCTGCTTCCTAAAGCTTTTAGGTCTACATCCCCATCATTGCAGGTGGCTTTTCACTGATCCATTGTGCTTTCTTATTGATGGACACTATAATTTTACATTTTTAAAAAAAAAAAAACAATACTACTCTGTTTCAATCTGAATTACTTTAAAAATAAAAAAATCTAAATGATTCTGACTCTTTGTTACGTCCAGGCAGGCTGTTTACTTGTGCGGTTTTCCTCCCTCCTGTTTTTTCTCTCTTCTCCTTAGCCTCATTCCCAATTACCCCTCCTCGACTCCTCCTTTCCCTCACTCGCGTCCCTTCCTTGCGTCTTAGCTCC